GTGACAGGGGGGAGCTCCCCAACCCCCTGATTGCCCTGCGGCTCTGTGTGTGACAGGGGGTGGGGCCACAACCTCCCTATCCGCCCTGCTCTGTTCGTGACAGGGGAAGGCGCCCCAACCCCCTGATCAGCCCTTCTCTGTGCCTGATAGGGGGGAGCTCCCCAACCACCTGATCGCCCTGCGGCTCTGTGTGTGACAGGGGGTGGGGCCACAACCTCCCTATCCGCCCTGCTCTGTTCGTGACAGGGGAAGGCGCCCCAACCCCCTGATCAGCCCTTCTCTGTGCCTGATAGGGGGGAGCTCCCCAACCACCTGATCGCCCTGCGGCTCTGTGTGTGACAGGGGGTGGGGCCACAACCTCCCTATCCGCCCTGCTCTGTTCGTGACAGGGGAAGGCGCCCCAACCCCCTGATCAGCCCTTCTCTGTGCCTGATAGGGGGGAGCTCCCCAACCACCTGATCGCCCTGCGGCTCTGTGTGTGACAGGGGGTGGGGCCACAACCTCCCTATCCGCCCTGCTCTGTTCGTGACAGGGGAAGGCGCCCCAACCCCCTGATCAGCCCTTCTCTGTGCCTGATAGGGGGGAGCTCCCCAACCACCTGATCGCCCTGCGGCTCTGTGTGTGACAGGGTGCGGCGCCCCAACCCACCCCCACAGGCCCTGCTCTGTGTGTGATGGGGTAGAGCCATAACCTCCCCATCGGCCCTGCCCTGAGTGTGACAGGGTGCGGCACCCCAACCCCCTGATCCGCCCTGCTCTGTGTGTGACAGGGGGTGGTGCCCCAATCCCCCAATCGGCCCTGCTCTGAGCCCAACCAGGGGCTGCACCTAGGGATTGGGCCTGCCCTCTGCCACCCGGAAGCAGGCCTAAGCCAGCAGGTCATTATCTCCCGAGCGGTCCCAGACTGCGAGAGGGCACAGGCCGGGCTGGGGGACCCCCCTCCCCCCCGAGTGCACAAATTTTTATGCACCGGGCCTCTAGTTCTTATATAAAAGGCCTGTGGCCGTCACGCCATCACGACCAAACGAGCAGGGGCTCTCACAGTGGGCGGGGCGGGTGCAAGCTGTGAGGGCGGAGGGCGGGCAGCCAGCTGAGGCAGGCGGAAGCGAGCTACTCGCGCACGATTTTGTGTGCGCTGGGCCTCTAGTGTGTGTGTGTGTGTGTGTGTGTGCGTGCGCATATATATACACCGTTAGATCGTAATATACATAAAAGAAAGCCTCCGCGGACCTGGTACCCACCCCTTTGTCTCTCTCTGTACGGCCTGCCTTCCCGTGGGGACCGAGGGCTGATGAGTGATGGGGGGGAGGCCAGGCTTCTGACCCCACAGCCCCTGGTCATCTCTGCGGAGACCCTGGAGCAGGCCAGAACCCCTATCCCCCTCCCCGCCCTGACCTGGTGACAGCTTGGTAGGCGCACCCTCCCGTGGGCCCCGCTGGCCCCTGGGGGGAGGAGAGCAGACTGGGG